AGAGAGAAGTGAGAAGAGGAGCTGGGCATTGTAGATAATTCTTGCCAGCAGTTTTCTGTAAAGGGAAGAGAGAAATGGTGGGAAGCCAAAGTGGGGAGAGGGGTGAAGAGAAGATTTCTTTCTTTTCTTCCTTTCTTTTACTTTTTTTAAAGATGGAATCCTGCTCTGTCAACCAGGCTGGAGTGCACTGGTGCAATCTCGGCTCACTGCAAGCTCTGCCTCCCGGTTTACGCCATTCTCCTGCATTAGCCTCCCGAGTAGCTGGGACTACAGGTGCCTGCCACCACACTTGGCTAATTTTTAAATATTTTTTTTAGTAGAGATGGGGTTTCACCATGTTAGCCAGGATGGTCTCGATCTCCTGACCTCGTGATCCACCCCTCTTGGCCTCCCAAAGTGCTGGGATTACAGGCGTGAGCCATCGTGCCCGACCCAAGAGAGGATTTCTTTAAAGATGAGAGAAATGGCAGTTGAGTTGTGTGCTGATTGGAATGGTTCAATATTGAGAAAAACTGATGATGCAGGTGAAAGGAATCAGAATGTACCCCCCCACCCCAAATAGGCCACTTTTGCACAAAGATTATTTTATGCTAAGGCAACTGAGAATCAACAGATGCAGGAAAGTTTTCTGCCCTCCCCTTATCAGCCTAAAAACAGGGCACACATTTCCCCTTGGGGAAGGTGCCCCCTCAGGCCAGGATGACAAGGGCATACTTATCACTGGAGATGAAGAGTCAGCACCAAAACAAATGTGTATAACTAGACCTAACTAAAACAATCCTTCTTTTCCATTAGTTTCCCCATATATTTCTTAGTCACTTTCCTATATTTGTCATCCCTTGAAACCCAAACCTCCTTTGTTTTGTTAAAATGGCACATAAGCCCCTGAATGTAACTGATTTTTGAGTTTCACTTCTTTTCTGTGAACTCCTGAACATGTAAATATTAAATAAACATTGTACCTTTCCTTCTGTTAATCCCTCCCTTATTAATTTGATTCACTGGCCCTAGCCACTGAATCTAAGAGAGTATAAGAAAAAGTTTTTCCTCCCTGACACAGGAGCAAGAACAGAGATGAGTAAAAGAAAAAGGGTGCACAAAGAGACAGACTGAGGAGGACAAAATACTGGAAGAATGGGGTGCCATGGAGACCAGAAGAGAATTTCTAGAAGGTATCAGCTCAGGAGTTAAATGCTACTCAGAGGCTAAGTAAGATCAAGGGTGAAGACATATCCACTGGACCTGGGGACAAATATATCTTTAGTAACCTCAGGGAGAGGAGTTTCCACAGAATAATGTAAGTAGGCAAAGAATTGCTGAGTTGATCCCTGAATAGGAGGTAAGGAAGTGAAAACTGAGTATGGATACTTCAAGAAGCTTGACTGTAAATGGCAGTAGATAGATAGAATTCCACTACTGAGGGGTTGACATCAACTCAGTGGTGTGTTGTCTGGTGTTTAATATGGGAAGAGAGCTAACATCTTTAATATTTGATGTGGTTTGGCTCTGTGTCCCCACTGAAATCTCATCTTGTAGCTCCCATAATTCCCATGTGTTGTGGGAGGGGCCCAGTGGGAGATGATTGAATCATGGGGGTGGGTCTTTTCCATGCTGTTCTCATGATAGTGAATGGGTCTCATGAGATCTGATGGTTTTAAAAACGGGAGTTTCCCTGCACAAGCTCTCTCTTTTCTCGCTGCCATCTGTTTGGGTGAAGGAGAAGGGACAAAATGGAGGAAGGTGAACAAGATGGCACAGTCCCGATTGCTTCCGGGTCCTTCATCACCAACTTTCCCGCGCCCAGGAAAGCGCAGGACAACCAAGCATGCGCCAAGTGACGTCAATCCTAAGAGATCAAAACTTACCCAGCCATGCCTACGGAGACGCCCCTATCATGCCCTTATCCCGCCCACTGCTCTCCCCCTTCCAGTAACAATGCATAAAAGTCTGCTGCCGCAGGAGCCGGCGTGACTTCTTCGGCCCCTCCTACTTGTGGACTGGAGAACCTCACTCGAGAGCGCCAGTGCGACTTCCCTGGCCCCATACCTGAGGACCGGAGAACCTCGCCCGAGAGTGTGTGCATATTTGCAATAAAAGGCTGCCGCTTTCTTATGTACTTGGGCCTCATGTTTAACTATTTAGCTCTCCCAAATTAAATTAAATTAAATTAAGACACCATCCACTTAAGATGTGACTTGCTCCTCCTTGCCTTCTACCATGATTGTGAGGCCTCCCCAGCAAAGTCAGTACTGCTAGCTATCCCAGGGAGAAGATCACCTTCATATTTCCAAACCTACTTTTTAGGCTCAACTGCCCCTCAGGCAGCTACCCAACAGCTAACCAAAGGCCTCCCAACTTCACTGACCTCATTCCAACTACTTCCATTCTCTCTTTATTCTATTGTCCTATTTGAGACCTGGTGTCCTTCAGTCTACTACCCCTAATTAGCAAAATAGCTCTACTCATTTGCATTACTTAAGCAGCATTTTCCTAGAAAGTACTGAAGGTAATATGCTAATCACAAGGACAATCTTTAGATCCCAGAACTGAGGTAAAAGCACTAAAAGTAATTAAACCTCATCTAGTCGGTGGCTCTATTGCTTAAATCCTGCTTTCCAAAGTAAACAAAACAAAACCTACACAGAATGTTATTGCCAGAGGGAGTTCAGGAATCCCCTTCCACAGTCTGTATCATCCCTCCCCACTAACCTCAAATTCTTTTAGCCCACAGGAGCTAAGTATTCGAAGACCACATAGCTTTTGATAAGCAATAGTCAAGAACTTCAAGTTACCATCCAAACTTTTACAACTTCCTCACTAGTTTTACTAGGGCAGTAGAGTGTATTGAGAAGAAGACTGGAGTCCCAGGTCAAAAAGCTTAAATTTTTCTTTTTTTGTTGTTGGTTGAAACAGCCTCACTCTGCTGCTCAGGCTGGAGTGATGTGATGCGATCTCAACTCACTGCAACCTCCACCTCCTGGGTTCAAGAAATCCTCCTGCCTCACCCTCCTGAGTAGCTGGGACTACAGGAGCATGACACCAGGCGTGGCTAATTTTTGTATTTTCAGTAGAGACAGGGTTTTGCCATGTTGGCCAGGCTGGTCTCAAGCTCCTGACCTAAGGTGATCCGCTCACCTGAGCCTCCCAAAGTGCTGGGATTATAGGCATGAGCCACCGTGCCTGGCCAAAAAGCTTGAATTTTCAGTTTTAAAATTGTACCTTTATTTTAAGCATCATACAAATTTTGTACCATCCCCTATATTTCTGTGTTTTGTGTTGCTTTTAATGAACTCACCCCAATTTTGTGTAAAATTGAAACTCCTGGAGAAAGAATTATGTTTATTTAAAGTTTCTTCTATCCCACTATTTCAATTTGAAAAAGCCAGCACTAGATGGTGTCATTCTTGATAATACCAGCCCATTTTGCACACTTATTTCTAAAAACTAGTACTGAATGGAACTTGGGTCTACTTGCCTAGTGCACAAAAAAGCCAAACAATGACACCAGGATTTGCTGCAAGAGAAAGTGAGGCATTTATTGCAGGGCTTCAAGCAGGAAGAATTAGGCAGCTGATGATTAGGACACAAACTCTCCATTGACTTACAAGGAATGGTTTTTAAAGGTAGGGGCATATTTCAAAAAAGTAGAAGTTACAGGGAAAATTATAGCTCGATACACAGTGGTTATACATTTGTTTGGCCCAAAAAGGGGGAGTATTTTTGTAACCACCCAATGGGTTCACCTTACCCACTGCCTCGACAGAGCCAATTTATCAAGACAGGGGAACTGCAATAGAGAAAGAGTAATTCATGCAAAGCTGGCTGTGCAGGACACTGGAGTTTTATGATTACTCAAATCAGTATCCTGAACATTTAGGGATGAGAGTTTTTAAGAATAATTTGGTGGGCAAGGGGCAGCTAGAAAGTCAGGAGTGCTGACTGGTTGGGTTGGAGATGAAATCATAGGTAGTCGAAGTTGCACTGAGTCAGTTCCTGGGTGGGGGCCAGAAGATAAGATGAACCAGTTTATCAATCTGGGTGGTACCAGCTGATCCACTGAGTGAAGAATCTGCAAAATATCTCAAACACTGATCTTAGGCTTTATAATAGTGTTATTATTCCCAGGAGCAATTTGGGAGGGGTCAGAATCTGGTAGCCTCCAGCTGCATGACTGCTAAACCATAATTTCTAATCTTTTGGCTAATTTGCTAGTCTTACAAAGGCAGTCTAGCCCCCAAGCAAGAGGGGGATTTGTTTTGGGAAAGGGCTGTTATTGTCTTTGCTCTAAACTATAAACTATAAACCAAATTCCTCCCGAAGTTAGTTCAGCCTATGCCCAGGAATGAAAAAGGACAGCTTGCAAGTTAGAAGGGAGATGGAGTTGGTTAAGTCAGATCTCTTTCACTGTCTCAGTTATAACTTTGCAGTAGTGGTTTCATCTTGAAGCGAGAGCTTACAGGTCATAGGTAGATTCTTTGATTTGCAATTGGTTAAGGAAGCAAGCCTTTGTCTAAAAACTTGGGGTCAGCAGAAAGGAATGTTAAGATTTGGCCTATGGGTGTGACTCTCTCCAGGCTCTGTCATGCCTGTCCGTGTGAAGAGACCACCAAACAGGCTTTGTGTGAGCAATAAAGCTTTTTAATCACCTGGGGGCAGGCAGGCTGAGTCCGAAAAGAGAGTGAGCAAAGGGAGATAAGGGTGGGGCCGTTTTATAGGATTTGGGTAGGTAAAGGAAAATTACAGTCAAAGGGGGGTTGTTCTCTGGCGGGCAGGAGTGGGAGTTACAAGGTGCTCAGTGGGGGAGCTTTTTGAGCTGGGATGAGCCAGGAAAAGGAATTTCACAAGGTAATGTCATCGCTTAAGGCAAGGACTGGCCATTTTCACTTCTTTTGTGGTGGAAAGTCATCGGTTAAGGCGGGGCAGGGCCTTTTCACTTCTTTTGTGATTCTTCAGTTACTTCAGGCCATCTGGGTGTATACGTGCAAGTCACAGGGGATGCGATGGCTTGGCTTAGGCTCAGAGGCCTGACAGGCTCCTTAGGGAAAAAAAGAAAAAAAGAGCAAAGAATGGCAGTTGGAGTTAAGTCCTCAGCTCCCAATTTTCTGAGATCTACATGAAAGCAGTCAACATTTTACATCTGGTGGGAGGGTCCAGATTTCTGAAAAACAACTCAAGAATATATGTTAAGATGTTAGCTTTTGTTTCTATAGGAAACCAAACATCGTGTGACTCTAACTTACTTGAATGACTATTGTTTACATTACTATTACCTTCTTGCTTAGTGTATTATTCACTCATTTCTTTCATTGCTGGTTTCAGGGCAAGCTAGGTGCCTAGAATTTCCCTTGAAGGGACTCACATCTTTCTTTATTTTCATGCTTTGAAGCGGGTGGGGAAATCCAGCAGGTCCCTGTAAGGAGCCCCTGCTTTATCTCACAATCAGTAACACAACAGTCTTTTATCACTGCTGTTTCTATATGTAATTCTTAACTCCCTATTCAATTATAAAATCCTATATGCAGATGTACTGGATGCAAGGTTTAGTCTTCCTAAGACTCCCATCCTTTTTTGTTTTTTTTCTGAGACAGTCTTCTGCACCTTCAACCCATGCCACTTCCACATAGTTATGGTGGAAGCTGTCCTCTTAGTACAACATGGGCCACCTCAGGTCACAGCTGATTGACCTGAGTATCTCCTCCACTTCCATCCACACCATAGTTGATTGGTCCAGGGATAGGCTCCTGAATCAGGTCAGACCAATCAGAGAATTTCCATAGGCTTGGAGGACCCAGAATGAGGAAGTCATTTTCTTTCCAATGGTCAAAGTTGAGAGGATACAGTCAGGAAATATTGGCGGACATTTTTCTATCATATGGAGAACGAGCCCAACATACAGTAAAAAGCAGATGTGAGATCTAAACAGAGAATACTGCTCTTGCTGGAGTTCTACTTTTAGTTTTCCCAAGGCCCAGCTGTGGCCCTGCCTTTCCCATGAGTTGATATTTTATTCTGGGGCCAATACATTCTTCCTTTGCTTAAGCAACTTTGACAAGGTGGTCTGTTACTTGCTACAGAAGGAATTAAATGTAATAGTTCTTCAGAAAGCCTGTGGTGCTGAACAAAGATCAGGGGAATTAATAAGTCCTTGTTGATTGCCTGCTTGCCATTTATTGGCTTAAGTCTTGCTGAGAGACACCATCCTGAGAAAATATTGACTGCCATAGACTCCAACCAACAGATAACCCAAGGCAATTCACACTTGCAGTACTTGTGAAATTCAAGACCACTGACCAGCAGGGAGAAAGAAAGTGAACACAAATGAAGAAGCTTCTGTTGGGAGGGCAGACAGAGTAATGGCTTCATTCCAGAATAACATACTGGCAAGGGAAAAAGAGCAGGGAAATCATCTGGGTCAAGGATCAGAAGACCTAAACCTTCATCCTGGATCTACTGCTGGCTCGGTGTGGGACTTTAGAACAACCATGGAACTTTTCCGGGCTTGTGTTTTCACATCTATGAGTGAGGAAGTTAGAGGAGAAAATTACCGATAAGCTTTTGAGATAGAAAAGCTGAGGCGGCCAGGCACAGTGGCTCACACCTGTAATCCCAGCACTTTGGGAGGCCAGCTGAAGCAGGTGGATCACCTGAGGTCAGGAGTTCACGACCAGCCTGGCCAACATGGCGAAATCCTGTCTCTACTAAAATTATAAAAATTAGACAGGTATGGTGGCGGGTGCCTGTAATCTCAGCTACTCGAGAGGCTGAGGCTGGAGAATTGCTTGAACCTGGGAGGCGGAGGTTGTAGTGAGCCAAGATTGCACCATTGCACTCCAGCCTGGGTGACAGAGCAAGACTCCATTCCAAAAAAAAAACGGAAAAGAAAAGCCGAGGCTACCCCTCCTTCCATGTTCTGAATGCTGTGTCCACCTAAAATTCATAGAGTGAAAACTAATCACCAAGGTGATAATCTTAGAAGGCAGGGCCTTTGGGAGGTAATTAGGTCACAAGGGTTCTGTCCTTGTGAATGGGATTAGTGCCCTTATTGAAAAGCCCCAGAGAGCTGCTTTGTCCTTCCATCATGTGAGGACACATGGAAGGTGCCACCAACGAGGAACAGACCCTTCCCAAGCATTGAATGTGCTGGTGTCTTAATCTTGGACTTCCCAGCCTCCAGAACTGTAAGCAATAAATTTCTGTTGTTTATAAATTACCCAGTCTAAAGTATTTTGTTATAACAGCACCAATGGACTAAGACACTTCCCCTTTACTCATGGGGTGCTCTAACACTCATGCCTTCATCTTAAGGGAGTCGTGGGCTCTCATCACAGTCTCTCTGTGGTGTGCCAAGTCCTGCAGGTAGCAGCCACAGATGCAGATCTACCATCTGGAAACAGTAGAGAAGGTCATTGGGAAGGTCCTTCCTTAAATGGAGTCTTGGACATCACCAGTCTGGACCTGAGACTGTAGGAGAATCTAGACTTCCAAATCAAGGCAGCAGAGTGACATGCCTGCAGGGACAGAAGACTGTGCCAGGTAGAAATGGGAGCCAAATGGAGAGCAAATGTCTGCTCCTGTTTGGTGTGTGATAATGAAGGCCTAGGAAACCTATATCTTCTGATTAAAAAAACACACACATACACACAAAACCAGAAACTGCATTGTCATATGAAATCTCATTGTTTTAAAATGTCTGAGTGTCAAAAACAAGCAAACAAACCCACTGTGAGGACAAAAACAACACGAAAGTAGCAAAAAAATATTTTTTGACTCAATTTGACCCATGACCTCTGCACAGTATGGTGTATATGTTCAGTTATGACTCTGAGTCCCATAATACTTTATCGTATCAATCCAATAGAGCTGCCGATGTCCCAGTGAGGGCCACTGCATAGTATCAGGATCAACATATTAGGATTGCCTGATTTGTGTAAACTTGAAGTCTACAGCCTGATGGGTGGGAGTAGAAGGGCCAGCATGCACACTGGTCATATCCAGCAGGGTTTACCAAGTATACGTGCCCTGAGTTTCCACAGCTTCATGACACTTGCTTCCACTGCCCTGGCGCTTGAAGGTGCAGTCTCAGACTGGGAACTCTGGACCTCATCCAATATCCCATCCTCAGCACTGTTCTAGGTGGTTTCTGAGTGAGAGAGCATCCAGAACTTCAAGCCACACCCACATGAGCCATCACAATACCCTGTATAAGGATTGGAGTGCTGTGGTCTCTTCTATCCCAAAGGAATGTGTATGTGCCTATGTTGAGGTATATCTTAAGAAAATGTTTGATTTAATCAGATTAGATAGTTTCATACTGGATAATCTCTTGTTATGTCCAATAATTTTATAATAAATTTGAATCATTTGGAAAGCCCACCACTAGTGGGTTTCCACTTCTAATACCAAAGCCATGCAACAAACGTAACATGATCCACTGATGGCCTTAGACTTCCAAACTTAAACAATGTGCCTTCCAAAAATGACCAAGAGGGTATGTTTCTCAACGGACACTCCAATTCCCAGTTCCTTGCTTTTTTTCTTCCTTAGAGGAAATAGAGCTGTGTTCATAAAAGAGAGAGAGAAAGGAATCAGACTTTTTCGTAAAAGAGAGAGAAAAAGGAATTCCTTGGCTGCTCCAAGGTCAGAAGACCCAAAGGAGTCCAAAGTCTTTAACCAAAGTCTTTCTTGTGCAGGGAAAGTGGTAGCCTCATAAGGAGACCAAAAAGAAATGAAGCAGAAAGTCAGGCGTGGGGATGCTAGAATTAGGTCACTTATCTATGTTTAATTCTGTTGGCTCTTTATGCAGCTTAACATTTACTTTCCATTTACCTCTGTTCGTTTTGCTGACAAGGAAGTAAAATTAAGACATTTTAAGTGCCTAGAAGGGAAAGATCTTCCAGTCACCATTTTCAATAAACCCCTTGGACACGCAGACACATACCTCAAGCTTAGTCCAGCAGAAAAAGATCCAGGATTTTCCCCATCTAAGTCTCCAGTGTTAGAGGCCCCCAGCTCTCATCATCTATCTTGTTGGTTGTCTGGGTGCTTTGTTTTTCGCTTTGTCCTGCCTACAGCCAAGTTGGCACAATGTCACAGTTTCAGTTTGGGAAATGAGGGAGCGTGTGAAAGCGAACTTATGGGAAAGAGCATGTTGGAAGGAATCCTCTGGAAACTTACCCCTGATTCCTAAAGGGGAGCCACTCCTGTCCTCTCCTCTGTGGTCAAGGAACACCCAAGGACATCAGCCTAGGCAGATAGTGAGCTGTACAACCTGCGGTTCCAATATTCTGTTTGAAAAGTGTTCTAGACCCTTCTTCTCAACCCAGGGCTGAAGGCCATCTGAGAGATGTAGGGATGCATCAAACAAAGAAGTAAGGTAGGAGCCTTACAGCTCAGGAGACCCTAAAATTATCTCCACAGCTTGGAGGATGAAAGGGAGCACCATTCATACTCTTGCAAGGACAAGAAGTGTCAACTGACACTGTTCAGTGTGGTCACCTTCTTATGAACCAAGGAGAAGCAGAACTAACTCTGTTTTGGTCTTGGGTCCCTTTGAGAATGGGATAAAATGTATGAACTTTCTCCTTGCACATACTTACCCATATGTACATAATTTTACTTAAAAATTCAGGAGTTCCAGATGCCCCCTTTATCTCATCAATTGATCGCGAGCTGGGGAGCCTTGTATAGTAAAGATAATAATCATGATCTATAAAGCCACTTCTTCCCAAGCTTCCATTAATTAATAGCAGAGAAAAAGTGAAGGCACCAGAATTCTGTGTGTTTCAGGAAAAACCTCTATTCCCATCTCACCCCTAAATATTCTTTGCCTTGACATCATTAGGTCAGTGCTAATTTCTTTATGCCTCTTTTCCCAGTTTTCTTCTATCATTACAAGACACTCAACATTCCCACACCACTCCTTATGTCCCAGATGGCAATCCTCATGCAGCTCAGGGGCAGCAGGAAAATGACCCCTGCCCACTTTGCCATTACCCAGAACTGTTGCCCAGCTTCATTTTTTCCAAAGCACTCAACACCACTTCATATCAGCTGTGTTTTACTTGTTTGACCCTGTTAGACATAAAGGTAGGGATTCCTGTCTGTTTGTGCACTGCTTTTTCATAAGTACTTAAAAATGGTGCTTGACATGTTAACAGGCACTTCATAAATGTTTTTTGAATGAAAACCTGATGAATGGAAAACTAACAGTTATTGAGCTCCTACTACGTGCCAGGTATGCAAGTACTTTTACATATACTGTTTCATTTTATCTTTGCAATACCCTAATGATGGAAGGACTATTATTAATTTCATTTTACAGACAAGGAGGCTGAGACTTACAGGGGTTATGGAAGATTCCCAAAGACACAGAGCCAGTGAATGGTGAAGCCACTCCAACAGCTGTGCTCTGAAGTACTGAAGTCTTATTGTGGTTTGAAGTCATTACATGAAATATTCTAAGTCATGGGTTATTCTGAATCACAGATGGGACGTCTTGACTTCTGTTTTCTTTCTTTTCCTGAGCTGTTTTCTGTTTTCCTAACAGATTAAGAAATAGACCAGGTGTGGTGGCTCACACCTGTAATCCAGCACTTTGGGAGGCTGAGGTGGGCGGATCACAAGGTCAGGAGATCAAGACCATCCTGGCCAATATGGTGAAACCTCGTCTCTACTAAAAATACAAAAATTAGTTGGGTGTAGTGGCACACACCTGTAGTCCCAGCTACTTGACTGAGGCAGGAGAATCGCTTGAACTTGGGAGGCAGAGGTTGAAGTGAGCTGAGATTGCACCACTGTGCTCCAGCCTGGTGACAGAGCAAGACACTGTCTCAAAAAAAGAAAGAAAGAAGGAAAGAAGGAAAGAAAGAAGGAAGGAAGGAAGGAGGGAGGGAAAGAAAGGAAGGAAGGAAGGAAAGGAGGGAGGGAAGGAAAGGAAGGAAGGAAGGGAAGGAAGGAAGGAAAGGAGGGAGGGAAGGAAAGGAAGGAAGGAAGGAAGGAAGGAAGGAAGGAAGGAAGGAAGGGAGGGAGGGAGGGAGGAAGGAAGGAAGGAAGAAAGAAAGAAAGAAAGCTAGCTAGCTTACCTGTTACCTGTTTCTCACAAACACACACACACATACATACCCCATTTCTTTTCATAGCAAAATTGTAATGAGATTTGGAAGACTGGACCTTGAAATATTTTATTAGAACAAGTATCTCCATCAAACTACACACCATTACTCACTTTCTACCACCCCCGCACAAACAATATCCATTTGATGGCAAGTCAGGTTGAAGAAACCCAGTGGTTGCAATTGAGCATTCACAGCATGTTTGGAATAGAAGCCAAGGAGGCCAGCACACACTCAGAGTGATGCATTGTGCCTGCAAGCCTGCAACAGCACATTCATTTCTCATTCATGGGGAGAATGGGACACTTCTAGAATGGGTCTGGGGCAGGTGACAAGGGTTAGACCGAAAAGCAAGCACGTTGTCAACTTGAGAGGACAGACTCTCCTTCTAAAATAGGGTTCTCACTGCCTCTAAGATGCTGCTGGTGGGGTAGAGATATGAGTGCCTAAATCACCAAGCAGAAAAAAAAAATAGTGTATGCAAAATCTGCATTAACCTCCACATTCTCATAAATAGCAACCATGTATGTGCTAAGTAGTCATCCCTTGCTTATTTGTATTAGTGAGATTACTGAAGGTTCAAATTAAAATGAGCCCTTTCTCTCTTCCCCAAAGTCCTGGGGGGGCTTCAAAGGCCCACATTAAGATATTAAAAGTTTCTGATAAAAATCACTCATTTGGTATGCATAGACATGCCAATAATTGAGAAAGAAAAGAGGAGAAGAGAAGAGAAAAGAAAACCAGAGCTCTCATTCTCCTGGGGCTGTACTTAGAGTAGAGCAGTTATGCTTTCTAAGGAGCATAACGTTAGGTCATTAGTGCTGAATCACAGCGAGAGCTGCCCTGCTGCTGAGTCATCCAGAAGACTGGAGATGCAGAAGTAGATGCCCCAAAGCATCTTAGCTACATCGAGTCTGATGACAGCATTTTTTCAGTAGGACCTCAGAAGTTGTGTGTCTCTCACTGGTCCTAGAATCTGGGATGCTGTCTTAAGTGCAGATTCCTAGGTCTCTTCCTGTGTTTAAGAAATTAGAATCTCTGAGAGCGGGGCCCAGGAATGTGCATATTCACAATCTCCCCAGGAGATTCTGATGCTCACCTTCATTTGATCCCTGGCCTGGTGATCACTGCTCTAGATCTCTAGGCCTACAATTGAGATTAAACGATTCAACTTGTTACTCTATATTCTTTTCACTTTGATGATTTTTCTCACTGTGCTAGTTTAAAACCATCCATTTAGGAGTTCGTAGAGAATTTATTAAGAGCTTGGGATTTACAAATTAAAAAAAAAAAAGGTCAAAATCTGCACTTAGTATTTACAACAACCTTGGACAAGTTACTTAGTTATTTAAGCCTCAGGCAAGTCGTGTTAGATGTGGAGTGATACTTACCTCTTGGTGTTGTTGAAGGAATTAAATGTGATAAAGCCTGTTAGTCCAGTGACTGGCATGAAATAGGATAATGACGAGGTGGCAGTGGTGGTGACAGAGAGGCCCAGAGCTGGGCTGAGGGGGGCTGACAGATTCATGAGGAGTCCTGGTCTTCAAAATCTGAGAACTTGGCAAAATAAGGTAAGAAAAGGGATGAGTAAGTTCACGTGAGGATGTTTGTGAGGGACAAAGAAAGCACCCCAGCTTCAGCAGCTCCACAAAATATATCCCTTACAACAAATCCAGCTGCTATCTGTTTGTAAATAAAGTTTTGTTAGCACACAGCCACACCTATTTGATTATATATGGTCTATGGCTACTCTTAAGCTACAATGGCTGGGTTGAGTTGCAAGAGAGATCGTCTGGCCTACAGAGCCTAAAATATTTATTAGTCGGTCCTTTTCAAAAAAAAAAAAAAAGTCTGTCAATCCGTACTCTTAGTGAACTGCCAAGAGGGACTTTTATTTTACACAGGAAGAGGGGCTCAAGAGAAGAAACGGAATCATGAGGAAGACAAAGGTGCTAGCTATGCTGTCTTGTGCTGCCCAGCAACACTCTGCATACACACACCCACACTCACAATACACCCCTCCATCACAACCCCCACGTGCCCAGGAGACTTCAAGGATTTGTCCAGTGTTCTCCTTCTGAGGGTTTCTCAGGACACCCATCTTCTAGCCTGGCCAAAGGGAAGGTGAAAGCCACTACGCTTAAACCCAAGCCTGGCCCTGCCACTAGCCAGCTCTGCAACCCTGGGCAAGTCATTTTGTCTTTCTGAGCTTCAAGATCCTCATTTGTAAAATGAGGAGTTTGGAGTTGTTTGAGCCATTTACTAATGCTACACATAGCCTAAGTTTAGGCCTCCACTGCAGGGGTTATCTGTCTCAGTGTGTCTGTCAGAAATCAAGGACTAGAGAGGTAAGAAGTTGATTACTGGATATCTCTTGGTCCCTTTCCACATCAAGTTTGAGGCTTATACACTGGGAGTGGCATCCTTAATCTCTACCTGGTTTTGGACCTAGTGGCCAATAAATGAATGTTGATTTATATTATAAACTGAATTATGTCCCCTACGAGCCCCCCGGCAAAATTCCTATCTCGAAGCCCTAACCCCTAATGTGGTGGTATTTGGAGACAGGACTTTTAGGGAGGTAAGGTTAAATGAGGTTATAAGGGTGGTGTCCTAATCTGATGGAATTACAAGAACAGGATGCACTAGAGAGCCTTCTCTCTCTGTGAGAGCCATGGCAGAACAAAGGGAGAAGGTGACCATCTACACCTCAGGAAGAGGGGCCACAGCAGAAACTGAACATGCTGAACCTTGATCTCAGACTTTCAGCCTCCAGAACTGTGAGAAAACAAATTTCTGTTGTTTAAGCCACCCAACCTCTGGTATTCTGTTATGATAACCTGAGAAGATTAATACAATTAGATTCCAGGTGGGGTGACTTCGTAAGAGATAACATTTGCACAATCCTGCTCAAAGGGCTTCTTCTGCAGATGAGGATTAGGAAGAAGTAGTGGCAGAGACTGAATATCATTATGGCCACCTGAACCTTTCCATCTCATGTAATCTTTCTTTCACTTGAAGGTTTGTGTTTTTAAGTGAGAAACAGGAAAAAAAAATTGACCTTGAAATCAAGAGGAATGCATTCTGATCCTGGCTCAATGGTATTGTGCAATTCAAGTCTAGCTTGAGAGTTTGGGGGTTGATCAAATCTGTGGTCAAAAGCCTGATTTACTTTTAGCTGTGTTACCTTGGTCAAGTTACTCAACCTTTCTGATGGACAGTTGCCTTATCTACAAAATGAGAATAATATCAGTAATTTACCAGGTCATCGTGAGGATCAGATGCAGTAGGTCATGTAAAGAATGTAGCTCATAATGCCATGCAATCTAATAAATGTAGCATGCGAGAAGGCAGTTGTGCTAGTTATCTTTTGCTTTGTAACAAATTACCCTAAAACTTAGTGACTTAAAACATAACTTAGTGACTTAAAACAAAAACTTACTATTTTACAGTTTCTTTGGGCCAAGAATCTATGCATGGCTTAGTTCACTGCCTCTGGTTCTAAGGTTTCTGACAAGGCTACAACTAATGTATTGGTCAGGGCAGCAATCTCACTCGAAGTCTTGACTGGGGGAGGATCTATTTACTCACATGGTTGTTGGCAGGATTTGGTTTCTTGCTGTATTGAGGGCCTCATTGTCCTGTTGGCTCTCTCATATTCCTAGCCATGTTGCATTCTCCATAGAGCAGTTCAAAACATGGCAGCAAACTTCCCAGAAAACTAATAAAAGAGAAAGAACGTTCAAGATGGAAGCTATAGTTTTTTTTGTAATTGAACTTGACAGTGATATCCTATGACCTTATACCACATTCTATTTATTAGAAATCAGTCACTACGTCTAGCACATACTCAAGGGGATTGGCATTCCCAAGGGTGTTACCAAGGGCATGAAGACCAGGAGGTGGGGATCCCTGAAGGCCATCTTAGAGGCTGCTGACCACAGCAGCGTAAAGTGTGAAGAACAGTAAAAACATGCTCTGGAATAAGATTATACCCAATCCTCCTTATGAATGGAATTTCTCTACATGCTAAAATTTATTTGTAACTTTAAAATCAATACTCAGGGCACATTTGTGGTCACTTGCAGGTATTCTTACAGCAGCAAAAAACTTGAGTCACTCACTCAACACAAGCATTCCTAGCTGAGGTGGGACAACAAAGTGATACTCTGCTTTTTCATTTCAGCTCTCAGTCTGAGAACAAGTGTCTCTTTTGTGGTCTATTTAGTGCCCCATTTTTTCCCATTTTTATGCTTTATGATGGTGATTTTGCTGTTTCAAATGGTCCCAAAGCATAGTGCTAAAGTGATCCTAAGTAGAAGGCTGCTGTGTGCCTTACAGACAAAATATATGCATAAGGGAAGCATCATTTGGGCGTGGGTCACAGTGCTATTGCTATAAGTTCAATGTTAATGAATCAAACGTGTATATTGAATAAGATATCTTTAAACAAAACATCATTAAAACAAGGTTAAATATTGATCAGAGGCTCAAAGGAATCTCACCCTGTATTTCCTGTAGGAGCAACTGTTTAGTATTTGCTAATTCGGTGCTCACAGCCACTTTATAGAACATAACTTTCACAGATAATGAGAATTCACTGTATTTGGGTAAAATCAACTCCACCACTTTCCCAGCTGTGCCATCCTGGGAAAGCTTCTTAACCTCTCTGTGTTTTATCTTCATTAAGAGAAAAATAGGGATACCATAGGACCTGCAGCCAAGGGCTTTGGGGAGGATAAACTGTGATGTTCCTGGTACAGCAACTGGCACACAGTAAATGCTTGATAAATAGGAGATATTATTATAATTATTATTGTCTGAGTTCAGTTTCTTCATGATCATAGCAAATTTTCTGGAAGTATGCTTTCTTCTATTCTGGGACAGTATCTGGTGCAGAACAGGCACTCATGAAAGACATATTAAATGAAATAAGAATTCTCTGATCATATTAGGTGGAAGATCTAAAGCTGGAAGAAAGCAAGTTCCTCTGTTCCTGGTCTCTGGGTTTGATATTACCACTGTGGCCAGCAGGGCTGGGAGTGTGTGAAACGTTATAAAAACTCTCTCATTAGAACCCACATCAAGACACTAAATCCATAGTATTGACAGACTGTTGACTCACCTCCCCCAGGAACCCAGAGAATGCCCAGCAGATGGAAATGTACCCAAGACAAGGAAGCAGTGGTATTTTCCCCATGTCACCAGGCGTGAAGCCAGAAGTGGATTTGGCAGTAGTATACAATGGGATTAATCATCTGTAAATAAATCACCTACATTGTCTTGGAGATGATTTTTTCATCTCTAAATGCCAAGTCATCACCATAAGAACTGAGGTGTGACATCCGTACGGCCTCTGGGCTTGGTATCTGACCTTGCTTTTGCAAGTTGCTCTTCAAGCTGTCTTTCCTCAAACTATTCCTCTCTTAGGAAGCCAGAAGTTATTCAGGAGGGTTATTGGGGGCACAGCTAAAGGAGGGTGTGCATTATATCCTGTTTCTTCAGCGCATCCTGATGAAGCTGTGTGACTCAGAACCAGTTAATTTCTCTGAGATTTAGTTGTCCTCGTCTGTGAAATAGCACCTATTTTGCAAAGCCTATGGAAACTCACCCAGATGAAGGAGAAACTTAAGTATATTCTTGGTGGACTCGTATCACCACCTAACTCTTCTTCTCAGGGTTTAGTAATAGCTACTAACAATAGCTGACTTTAATTGAGCACTTATAATGTCCCAGACATTATGTCATCTACTCTTCCCTTAACAAAATTATTATTTCCATTGTACAGATGAAGGAACTGAGACACAGAGATGTGAAGTAACGTTTCCAAAGTCACATAGCTAACAAGGGGGGAAGCGGGAATTTATCCCCAGTTCATCTGACTCCAGAGTCTGTGCTAACGTGTAACAGCTTACCTTGAAGATATCTGTATTTTAACAAGGGCATCTTGGAGACAACAAGATATATGCTGGAAGTTTCAGGTGGAACATTCAGCTAGTGAGAAAGACATCTGCCGAAGACAGGCCCTGCAGCACGCCTTACCCATGATTATCTTCCTCTACTTGAGAGCTGACTGTCTAAAGCAGGATTGGAAAATTAAACTCACTCATTATTTCTTCCTTCTTAAAAAAGAACTGTGATTAATTTGGTGTATTAAGCTGTGATTAACTCTGAGAACCTAAAGTCTGAAGTGCTTGAAGGGGGCTGAAGTGCAGAGGGCAGAAGGCCCCCAAATTCCACAGATCCTTTCCCACTCCCCAGCTTCACTTTTGAGCATCTGCTGGGCCTTGCCACTACTCTTCCCAACAATTTCTGAGCTAGCTATAAAAAACTCCCATTTTACAGACAAGAAAGTGAAGGCAGAGCAGTTACATGACCTAACAAGATAGAAAACAAGTAATAGATAGAACTGGGATTCATATCCAAGGCTGCCTGGCTTCAACATCACACCTCCCTTTCCCTACATGGTCACCCCAGAAGGCTTACCTGATGCTGCAAATCTATGCCTCGTGCCAAAAGGCTTTATGAGTCTGGCTGCTACTAGGTGGCAGCTGCAACTGTGGAGTGTGGAGTATGGTTGTGGAGTTGGCAGGTGATGGGTGTGCCACAAAAAACAAAATCCTCTTTGGAGACAGAGAGAAGATGTGGCCTGAAACACCAGCTCACATATATTAGGGGCTTAATGTGACTTGGGTTGTAAGTTACCTTTTATCACACCAAGGAGAGATGGAACTCGAAAAGTTCTTGTGCCAGAATTCATACCTTGGATGTCAACCACAGTTTTGAAGAATGTTTTTTATTCATCTCAGAAAGGTCAACTTATAGGCCAGTACCATAAAAATCCCTTCAAACATGGAATATCTTTCAAGCATTAATAACTTGAGCTGGAAGCAATAGAGTTTTTTTGTTTTGTTTTGTTTTAAAGACATAGGACAGATTCTGACACCCAACCCTAGGGCAATTTGGTGCCTATTGAACCAAAAATGGCTGTAGCAGCACACACTGGTGCGAGTATAAATTGAAATAACATTGTGGAGGACAATTTAGCAATATGGATCAAAGAGATTAAAAATGTGAGCTATCTTTTATCCAGCCATTCTGCTTTTAGGATTGCAGTCTAAGGAAACAATGAGATATATGCACAAATGAATTCATCATAGCATTATTTTTATTTTCTTTTATTTTTCCATAAGTTACTGGGGTACAGGTGGTATTTAGTTACATGAGTAAGTTCTTTAGTGGCGATTTGTGAGATCTTGGTGCACCCATCACCACAGCAGTATACACGGCACCATATTTGTAGTCTTTTGTCCCTTGCTCCCCTCCCACCCTTTCCCCCAAGTCCCCAAAGTCCATTGTATCATTCTTATGCCTTTGCATCCTCAGAGCTTAGCTCCCACATATCAGTGAGAACATACGATGCTTGCTTTGCCATTCCTGAGTTACTTCGCTTAGAATAATAGTCTCCAATCTCATCCAGGTCACTGCAAATGCTGTCAATTCATTTCTTTTTATGGCTGCATAGTATTCCATTGTGTACATATGTATATATATGTTTATATGTGTGTGTGTGTGTGTGTGTATAGTCTAGTCTCAGCTTCAGAGTTTTTCTTTTAGTTTTTCTTTATATATATGCACACACACCCCCCACAGTTTCTTTATCCACTCATTGACTGATGGGCATGTGGGTTGCTTCCACGATTTTGCTATTGTGAATTGTGCCACTATAAACAAGCCTGTGCAAGTGTCTTTTTTGAATAACGACTTCTTTTCCTCTGAGTAGATACCCAGTACTGGGATTTCTAGATCAAACGGTAGTTCTACTTTCAGTTCTTTAAGGAATCTCCACAGTGTTTTCCATACTGGCTGTGCTAGTTCACATTTCTACCAGCAGTGTAGAAGTGTTCCCTGTTCACCGCCTCCACTCCAACATCTACTGTTTTTTTGTTTTTTTTATTATGGTTATTCTTGCAGGAGTAAGGTGGTATTGCATTGTGGTTTTGATTTGCATTTCCCTGATCATCAGTGATTTTGAGCATTTTTTTCATATTGTTTTGGCCATTTGTATATCTTCTTTCGAGAATTGTCTATTCATGTGCTTAGTCCACTTTTTGATGGGATTGTTTATTTTTTCTTACTGATTTGTTTGAGTTCGTTGTAGATTCTGGATATTAGTTCTCTGTCAGATGTATAGATTGTGAATATTTCTCTCACTCTGTGGGTTGTCTGTCTACTCTGCTGACTGTTCCTTTTGCTGCATCGCAGCATTATTTTGAAAAGAAAAATAATAGGAACAATCTACATGTCCATTAATAGGGGATTTATCATATTACCCATTGTGATTACATTAGACAGGCGCTAAAAGCTCCTGACTTTCCCTCTCAATCTTGCTTCTCCTCCATGGCTCCCCATTTGGTTGATGACACCCTCATCCATGCAGGTGCACCAGGCAGAAACCTGGGTGTTCCTGAACACCTCTCTATCCTTACTTCCCCTCCCAATCAGCCACCAAGTCCTGTCCGATACAAATGCTAAAGAGATCTCAAATCTGTTTCTTTTTTCCTGTGTCCACTTGGCACATCCTGAGTCCAAACCATCAACATCTGTCTCCTGGATACTCTTAGGTGCCCCATATCCACCCAGAGTCCCCAGTTCTAATCTCTACATGCTTCTGTAGCTAGAGTTCTTTTAAAAGAAAAATCTGATGATGTCTTCCTTGCTTTCCTCTCAAAGCCTTTCCATTGTACTTGTGATAAAAGAATTCCACCATACGCCCCGCCACAAAACCCCATAGCAGGGGTCAGCAAAGTTTTCTGGAAAGGGCCAGATAGTAAATATTTTAAGCATTATGGACCCTGCAGTCTCTGTAACAACTATTCATCCCTGCCAGTGTGGTGTGAAAACAACTACAGACATTATATAAATGAGTGGGTGTGGCTCTGTTCCAATAAAACTTTATTCACAAAAATAGGTGGGGTGCTAGATTTGGCCCCTGGGCTATTGTTTGTCAACACTTGTCTTGTAGGATCTGGCTCCTATTTTTCTTTCTAATTTCCACAAAGCCATTTCACCCCCATCTAGTCATTGTCTCCTCATCAGGACCTCAGGCAAGCTGTTCCCTCCATCGGCAATTTTCCTTTCTATTCCCAGCCTGCCCCTACTCTACCCCTCTAGGACCAACACATTCACCCCTGGCCAGCAGTTTCTCACTAGTCTAGTCTCAGCTTCAGAGTTTTTCTTTTAGGTGCACTCCCTACATCCAGGCTAGGTTAGGATGCCCCATTCTTCCCAAAGACTTAGTGCTTGTTCTTTGCGGAGCTTGTCAAATTTGAGATTAAATAATTCTTAATGCAGTTGTGTGTTTATATGTCACTTCTGCTAGACCCAAAGTTCTATAAGGAATTATGCCAATTATTGATCACAACTATATTCTTAGTGCCTGGTATGGTGCCTGACACATACAAAATGCATTAAATATTTGTGGAAATGTTGACCGAATAAATGATCACAAAACTAGAAAGAAATGGGCCTGTACAGACATAATGAAATATTAGGAGATACATGTATAGGTGATTTTTATTTTTTTCTTATACTTTCTTCCATTTCTCAAATGTTTCACAAAAAGCGTATATTATTAGTCTACTCAGAAAAATAATTAATGAATGGAGAGAAAGAGAGACAGAGAGAGAGAGACAGAAAGCCCTGCTTCTGTGTTCAAATAACCAGTGAAACAAGCCCATTTTTGGCACACCCTACATGTTGAACCATCACTTTTCTCTGCTTGTCCAGAGCTGCCTAATAAGCTCCTCTACTTCCCTTCATATTGCCTTTACCTGGTCATTTTTCATTTTCTATAAGTCACTTCCTCAGATCCCAGAGCATCTGTGTATCTGGGTACTGACTTGAGTTGAGCCACTGATTCCAATTCCTGTGGCAGATGGGCACTAGTGTACATATACCCACACAGCCTAATTGGCCATCTAGGGCTTTCCAATGCCAAGTTTAGGAAGGGGTTAAGAGATTAACTGCTGCCATGTGAAATGACATGCACCCGTAGCTTCGCAATGCAGAAGCTGTCCATGCAGATGGGAAGTGGTACAGCTAACTTATTTATTTTACTCACCAGTAGCTCAGCTTCCAACATCTGGTCATTTCCATGCTAGGCTGGTCTCCAAGTGGTACATGGGGGCAGCAGGCCACATGGCGACCATGTTCCAATGTACTCATCCGATAATTCCCTCCGCATTCAAGAGGAAGCCAATGAAGATGAGACTAATTATTATCTCCAAATAGAGATAGCATTTTGGTCATCTTCCAAAAAAATCTATGTGGGTAGAATAAGGGGGAAGTCAATAATTGACAAAAATGTGTGGGTTATGTAATGGATTATGGGCCTACAAAGAAGTACGATCTATCTCTAACTGATTCTTTGAAGTTCCAGATTAGATGCATATTCAACATAATCACATAGAAAAATAAGCAACAACACAAGGTAAGATAACTAGCAGCTGTAATTGTCAAACAAGTGATAGTGACAGTAAGTGACATGGCAGTCATACTCCTTCCAGTTCCGTGAAAGTCAAGGCCATTACTTCACATTCTTAAATTTCATGGCATATCAGAGTGTCATTGGCTATAAGTAACAGAAAATCCTGACTTAAGTAACAAAGCAAGTATCATTTCATATTTCAGAAGTCCAGAAGTAGGGCAGGGGTTGGTAACTTAGCAACTCACAAAGTTATCCTGAATCCTGCTTTTTCCATCTCTTCACTTGGCCATCCATGATTGTTTCAACCTCATACTTGGAATTAAAATAGCTGCAGCAATTATAGGCATGACATTCCTTTCTTATGGTCTTCTGTTTGGAATGAGGAAACTCTTTTTGGAAATCCTCCAGCAGATTCCCCTAATGTTTCATTGACTGGAGTTGGATCATTTGACCCATGAGCCAATCTCTAGCAAAGGGAAAAGAAGACCCTTGGACAAATTAGACTCACTAGTAGAGCTGGGTGTAGGGTCAGCTTCTCCTGAAGTATGTGGTTACATGGGAGATGGCTTTTGCTAGGAAGGAAAGAAAATTAATTCTAAGCAAACAACCAGTACTGTTTACCACTCATGGATAATTTCAAGGTGAGAAATATTTTACACCTGCAGAATCTGGTATTGCAATGACCTTTCCAGCTTCATCTCTCACTGTGTAAGTCCGCATCACACACCCTAGACTAAGCAGACTGTAATTCTCTCAGTTCTTCGAGAGCAATGTGCTTTCTGATACCACTCTGGAATGAATTATTTCTATTTCTCAACATTAGGCTAATCATACATTGCTGTTTGCCCAGAATCATACTGGTTTACACTGGTTATCTTGGCATTATTACTAATAGTGACCCTTTTTCATAAGCCTTCCAATTTGGATAAGAACATGAAAAATATCTAGGAAAGAGAAGGGAAGTGTTTGGGGATTGGTTGTGGAGAGTCAAGGAGAGAAAGGAGTTTACAATGACTCTCAGGCATCTGACTTGGGAGGCTGGGTAGATAGAAATAGAAGTCATCAGAACAGGGAATCAAGGAGGGGAGATTGTTTTAGGGAATACGTTAATGAGTTAAATTTTGGACTTAGGACATAGCTGGGTACAGATAACCAGGTAAACGTTAACTATGTAAGTTCAGAACGCAAGAGAGAAAGACATCATCTGGTGATAGAAATGTGTGAAATAGTATCACCCTGTAATCCCAGCACTTTGGGAGGCCGAGGTGGGTGGATCACTTGAGGTCAGGAGTTTGAGACCAGCCTGTCCAACAGGGTGAAACCCTGTCTCTACTAAAAATACAAAAATTAGCTGGGTGTGGTGGCCTGTGCCTATAGTCCCCCCTACTTGGGAGACTGAGGCATGAGAATCACTTGAACCTGGGTGGCGGAGGCTGCAGTGAGCTGAGATTGTGCCACTGCACTCTGGGCAACAGAACAAGAATCTGTCTCAAAAATAAAAATAAAAAATTCTATATGTAAAATAGCATCTAGATACCTGAAGAAATAGTATCTAGATACCTGAAGTCATGAATATGAAAGAGATGACCCAGAAGAAATGTGGAATTAGAATGTGCCCATGGTAAGAGTCTGGTAAGGCCAACATTTAGAAGTTGTGCAAATTGAGGGGAAGCAGCAATGGAGACTGGGAAAAACTGACCAGAGAGAAAATTGTGAAATCAGGAGAGTAGAGGCATGGAAGCCCAGGAAAATGGGAATTTCAAGGGGAAAGGAATGGTTGGTAAAGTCCCTAGTGTTACAGAGAGCTCAGATCAGGTAAAGATCAAAAAGAGTTTATTGACATCAGGAATTCATTGGCTACCTTTCCTGGAGCATTCAGAGAACAGCATAGAATTACATCATTTTAGTATGAAAGATGACATCATTAATGACCTAGTTTTTTATGAGAAAATGCTCTTTTCATAAGGTTAGTTAAGATTTAGTGGCAGAGCCTAGACTGAAACTGCCAACACTTGACTCATCATTCATGGAATTAGCCTATCATGTTGTGTTGTCCCTTTCTGTGTGCTGAAACTGTGGAGACTGGTGAAAGTGGGAAGCATGCAGGATCAACACAAATCAGTCTCCAACAATCTGGACTAACATAGTGACTTCCTCTTCTCCCCATCTCCACTACTGCTGCCTTGACTGCAGCCACGATCACAACACTCCTGGACTGCTGCAGTCGCCTCCTAACTGATCTCCCTACTACCTCCAGTCCATGTTGCTCACATCAGCAAATGCATCATAGTACTTCTCTGCTTAAAATGCTTCAAAGATGTATATTCTTCAAGTATAATAAAAAAATGTAATGGTGCTAATATTAACCCAGTGGAATTGTTGTGAAGATTAAATAAAATAAAAATTTTAAAGAAAAAAAAATGTTTCAAGGAAGCACCAAGGCAGTTCAAAGGGAGAAAGGAGCTGGCTCAGAAACAACTGGATAAACATCAGAAAAAAATAGTAAGAATAATAATAATAACTAACCATTATAATGGCCAAAAATATAATTCAAAATGAATCATAAATCCAAACATAAAAATGAAAAGTGTGCTGTTTCTTTTTTAAAAAGTCAAGAAAGTCACTCACAACCTTGGGAAAGGCAAAACAAAAAGCACTAATGGTTAAAGAAAAAAATCAAATGGACTTCATCAAAATTAAAAGCTTAATGTTCATCAGAAAACACAATTAAGAAAATGGAAGAGGCTGTGCATGGTGGTTCATGCCTGTAATCCCAGCACTTTGGGAGGCCGAGGCTGGAGAATCATGAGCTCAGGAGGTTGAGACCAGCCTGGCCAACATGGTGAAACCCCGTCTCTACTAAAAATACAAGAATTAGCCAGGCATAGTGACTCAGGCCTGTAATTCCAGCTACCCGAGAGGCTGAGGCAAGAGAATCACTTAAACTCAGAAGCTGGGCGTTGCAGTGAGCCAAGATTGCACTACTGCACTCCAGCCTGAGCAACAGAGCAAGATTCTGTCTTAGAAAAAAAAAGGAAGAAAAAGTCTTAGAGAGGGGGAAAATATTTATATATATATATACATTCCAGAATATATAAAATCATTTTACAAATCAATAATTAAAAGACCAAAACCTCAATTAAAGAAACTTCACAAAACACACCGCTAAATAAGACATATGTAAGGACAGAAAGCAAATGAAAAGGTGCTCTAAGTCATTAATTATCAAGGAAAGACAAATTAACATTTCATGAGATATTATCACATACCCATTAGGATGGCTAAAATTAAAAAGGACAGACAATCCAAATGTTGACAGGAGCTTTGGAAACAACCGGAACTCTAATACATTGCTGTTTGGAGGATAAAATGGCACATCTACTTTGGAATTCTGTGGGAAGGTTTTTATAAATATGAACCTATCAAAAAAAATTAGAAGACTATACCATATAATTTCAAGACTTACTATTGTAATCAAACAGTGTGATAATGGTGTAAGGATAGACATGCACAAAAATGAGACAGAATAGACGATCCAGAAATAGAATCACTATATATGTTAAATTGATTTTTGATAAAGGTGCTAAAGATATTTAATGAGGAGTAGGATAATCTTTTCAATAAATGGTTCATGAACAAGTGAATATACATTTACAAAAATGAACCTTACACCATATATGAAAATTAACTCAAAGTGGATTATAAACCTAATCATAAAACTAACAATGTAAGACTTCTAGAAGAAAACCTTGTAACCTTAGGTTAGGGAAGGATTTCTTAGAGAGGACACGGGCATTAACCATAAAAGAAAAAAAAATGATAAATTAGACTTGAACCAAATAAAAATAAATTGCTTTACAAAATATACCATTACAAAACTGAAAATACATGCCACGAACTGGGAGAAAATATTGGCCAAACATATCTCAGGTAGAGAGATACGTTTGTATACAAAATAAAGAATTTTCAAAACTCATTAACAAGAATGTAATGTAATTTTTTAATGTAAAAAGATTTAAGCAGACATTTCCCCAATCTATGAGAATGACTCGAAGCATATGAAAAGCTCCCCGGTATCATTAGTCATTAGGAAAATGCAAAATAAAGCCAAGTGAGAAAAAGGGCAAAGTAAGCATCTTTGAAAATTCCTCTGTAAAAGCAATGAGAAAACTTGCAATAATGGTCAGGATTAACTCTTTCAGAATTCTAAGAATTAACCAAATTATTGTGTGAATCAGGGAAGCAGTTATTCAAGAAAAACAGGTGAACCTCATAAAGAACAATGAGCTTTGTGGCATTGTAAGTTGAACTTCTCCCATTCCCATTCTCCAGCTTCACTTTAGCCTTGAAAACTAACAGCCCCTTATCACAGTGAAAACCAGCAACCTGGCAGCCACTGGAAGGGGCAGAATAGGTAGGGTTAGAGCTCCTTTAAAACCCCACTTCCAAAGAATTGTCATTTGACCTGTCTGGTGGTTCCCTGAAAGACTTCAATAGCAAGGCTGTATTTATTTGACCGGAGTCAGAGCACAGCCAGGGCCTCCCTGGGGACATTTGTCAAAGATAGTTACTGGCAACTGCTTATCATCATGGCTGTCTGAGGTACTGGATAAAGCTTGGGCAAACAGTTGATTAACCAAAGAGCCTAAAGGGAAAATCTGAGGAATGAGATATCCATAGGGGCTCTGAAAAGCTCTGACATATTCCTGAATATCTAAGAAGCCACATGCATGGGACAGTGTCAGGAAAGGCCTGAGAAGGCCGTAAGCTGTCACTTCTGGCTGACCATGAGGCTCCATGAAAGACGAAATGGAGGGCTGAGGTGGAGCTGTCAACTCTCTTGCCAAGTGTTCAGAGCATGCTCCTGTGTTCACACATAGCTGCTTTGCTAAAACTGGGTGACTTATTGGTTCTAGGCACTTAAGACAATATTTGCACAGTCATTAGCTGTCCAGTAAGCTAATTAAGCAGTGACTTCAGTGGCCACCCTCAACAAAGAGTGCAGATTTGATAGAATTAGGTCAGTAAAGTTCATTAAACAAACAATAACTACACAGAAAGCAGCAGCAACAACAACAACAAACCCTAGAAAGGGGAAAGAAACTGATTTCCAGAGTTGCTGCATCATGTTATTTAAAATATACAGTTTTCAACAAAGATTATGAAATATGTAAAGAAATAAGAAAATTTGACCCATATACAGGGGAAAAAAGCAATCAATAGAAACTCTCTGAAAAAGCACAGACATTAGACTTACTAGACAAATAATTTAAATCAGTTATTTTAAATGTCTTTAAAGAACTAAAATATACCATGTCCAAAAAACTAAAGGAAATTATGAGACTGATACCTCACCAAATAGAGACTATAGCTAAGATCGAAATTATGTAAAAGAACCAAATACAAGCTCTGGAGTAGAAAAGCATAATAGCTGAAGTGAAAATCCACCAGAGAGGTTCGACCACATATTTGAACTGGCTAAAGAAAGAATTAGCAAATATTAATTAGCATCCTGATAGGTCAATTGAAATGACTCAGTCTGAAGAATAAAAAGAAAAAAGAATGAAGGAAAATCAATAGAACATCAGAGACCCATGCAGTAACACCAAGCATACCAAGAGATGCCAAATGGGAGTGGGGGCCAGGTAGGTAAGGGGTAGAAAGAGCATTTGAAGAAATAATGGCCAAATTTTCCATTTGATGTAACAACAACAACAACAACAACAACATTAACTTACATATCCAAGAAGTTCAACAAACTCCAATTAAGATAAAGCCAGATCTTGACACCTAGACAAACCATAATCAAATTGTCAAAAGCCAAATCAAATAACATTCTACTACACACTGACTAGAATGGTCAAAATGTATTTTATTTTATTTTATATTTTTAGTAGAGATGGGGTCTCACTATGTTGCTCAGGCTAGTCTCAAACTCCTAGGCTTAAGCAATCCTCCCTCATTGGCCTCCCGCACAGTGCTAAGATTACAGGCATGAGCCACCATGCCCAACCTAGAATGGTCAAAATTTAAAAAGGTTGTGAGGCTCCTGGAACTCTCCGGCATTGCTAGTGGAAATGTAAAATGAACAGCTACATTGGGATATATTTTTCACTTTCATATAAGTTAACATATACTTAGCACATAACTAAGCAACTTCATTCTTAAAAATCATATTTAAATGTTTATAGCAACTTTTTTCACAACAGCCCAAAACTGAAGACATCCTAAATGTGTATCAACTGATGAATGAATGGATGAACAAATGGTATCATATCCATACAATGGAATACCACTCAGCAATTTAAAGGAATGAACTAGTAATACATGTATCAACATGGATAAATATCAAAAGCATTATAAGTAGAAGAAGTGAGACATAAAAGACCATATAACATATGATTTCATTAACATATGAAAGTCTAGGAAATGTAAAACTATGATGACAGGGAGCAAATCAATGACTGCCAAGGACAATGAGTAGGGGAAGGACATCGACTGCAAAGAGGCATGAGAAAATTTGGGGCATGATGTAAAATTTCCATATTATGATTATGGTGATAGTTACACACTGTATGTATTTGTCAAAACTCATCAAATAATTTACTTAAAATAGGTGAATTTTATTGTATGTAAATTATACCTCAATAAAGCTGATTAATTCAAAACATAAAAGGAAATAATAATATACCTCGTCTGTGATCCAGCAATTCCACTCCTAGTTATTTACCTAAGAGAAGTCCTCAAAAAGACTTGTATAGAAATGTTTATAGCAGCTTTATTTATAATGGCCAAAACCTGGGGGCTGGGGGAAGCCCTTCACCAGAATGAATAAGCCAATTATGAACATTTATGCAATAGAATGTTACTCAGCAATACGAAGGATGAACAACTTGGATGAATCTCTAAAATACTATGCTGAGGGAAAGCGAGACACGGAACAACACATAGTGTATGAGTTTATTTATATGAAGTTAAGAATAGGCAAAACATATATAGGGTGACGGAAATCAGAAGACTGGTTGCCTACTGGGGGTGGTAATTGATTGGAAAAAGGCATAAGGGAACTTCTTGGGTTGATGGGAATATTCTATGCTGTGACTAGGGAACTTGTTGTAGGGTATATGGACTTATCACTCCTGGTAGAATGGCACACTTAAGATCTGTACATTTCAGCTTACATAAATTTCATAAACTTCAAGTGATCCTCATTATACTTAGAATAAAATTCAGACTCCATGGAGACCTTCAAGGTTCCAGCCTGCCTTTCCAAGTTACTTTGTTCCACACCATCTTTTCCGGACCATCCTCCAGGCACCTCAAGCTCACCCCAGTAATCATGGCCTTTGCATGTGTTGTCTTCTTGGCCTGGGTGCTGTCCCCTGCTTCTTCACATGGCTGGGTCATCCCCATACTTCAGGTCTAAGACTAATGCCAGCTTGTCTGAGAGGCTTTTCTTGACTATACCTGAAGTAGCCCTGCTTGGTTGTCTTTGCCCTTCGTTTCTCTCATAGCATTTATTAATAATTCTTGCTATTTTTTGGTCAATCAACTTACTTTTGCCAGCCCACAGAAGGTAAGTTCCCATCTCCATAAATAGTTTAGTATGTTGTTGTTGTTGTTGTTGTTGTTGTTGTTGTTGTTGCTGGAAGATGTAGAGGATGGAGGTCTAAAATTTGTTTTAATTAAAAAGTGACACTCAGCACTTTTTTTCTCTAAACCTGTCTCAAACACTTTTCATCCCTGTTAGTTTTGACTTTCCAAATTAAATTAAAAGTTTCCAAAGGTAGGTGTTACGTTTATTTATTTCTAAATGAGACTCCCTAGACACTTACATGGTTTGCTTTGATTTGCTACAAAAGTCTTACCTGCCCCCAAATTGTTGAGCTCACCTGCTACTATGTCAGAATATCAGAATCTTCAACCTTAAGAGTATCTTTCTGAGTCAAGACAAAATATCATTAGAGGACCCCTGTGGAAATACAAATATACTCTTGGGGGTGGACTAAAATGTTGTCATGTAGGCATAATGATTGATATGGTGTGAAGTTTATGTCCCCCTAAAAATTCACAGGTTGAAATTCTAGCTCCCAAGGTGATTGTATTAGAAGGTGGGGTATTTTGCAAGGTTCCACCCTCATGAATGGGACTGTTTCCTTATAAAAGAGGCCCAAAGGGGTGTGTTTGCCCCTTCCACCATGTGAGGACACAGTGAGAAGGCATCATCTGTGAATCAGAAAGCAAGCCCTCACCAGACACTGAATCTGCCAGCATCTTGATCTTGGACTTCCCAGGCCCCAGAACTGTAAGAAATGCATGTCTGTTGCTTATAAGCTACCCAGTCCATACTATTTTATTACAGCAGCCCAAACAGACTATGACTATTATTAATAACTCTCTTTTACTCTCAAACTTGTCCAATTTTGGATACTAAATTATACAGTCACCTTACCCATCAGGAAATCTCGTTGACATAGTGGCACAGAGGAGAAGTGAGCCTTGATGAGGGCCAGGGGACAGCTGCGCTTGGAAGGGAGACAGGCATATAGAGCTAATAGGAGGTGCCAGGTGTGCAGCAGGAAGGCACAGGAATGGGAAATGATGGACGACAAAAGGGACTCCAGAAAGGGAATAGGAGATGTTCTGGAACAGGAATCATCAAGACAAACTTTGCTATTCAACAATTTCATCAGGTGCCAGTTCAGCCTGCAACACACACAACCCATTTACCTTTCCTCGAGGCAAAGGTGATTAACTAGCACCAGACTTGTCCAGGAGGAAGTTAATACATTTTAATAATTTATATTCAACCCACAATCCTTGTTTATTCAAGCAAAGGAGTTAGGAGCATCTATTTCAACACTTTAATTCTTTGGCTGAGTCATTTTCCAGCAGTAGCTGAAACCATGCACAGGGTAAACCCTGAGGGATGGGGTGAGGGGAAAATCCTCCATGGAGCTGGGTGAGTAGTTGTTCTTAGGACAAAATGTTGGCTAGAGAATCCCGGTTTCTTGGTCCCTCATGGAAAATTAGTGCAATTCTCATTAATGCTTACCTCAAAGTTCCCTGACCTGACAACTCACTGTGAGTATCTCCTAAGAAGAGCTGGTCTACAGGGAAAAACTCCTTTTCAGATTTATCTTTCTCCAAGCCTGGAAAAGATTCCCTTTTTTTCTGTCATCTGCTGCCATGGCTGTTGGCTGATGTAAAACCCAGGGCTCATCACCAGGTAAAACGTTCACACGTGTTTCCAATCAAGGTCTGCCATAGAGAAGTTGAATTGGCCTTTTTTACCCATTCCCTGCCAAAAGCCCAAAGAGCAAAGGCAATGTCACCATAAGGTGTTTTACACCATGCTCATCATATATCATGCCAAGAGGAGAAGAGTCATGGTCTCTGTGAACTGTAAAAACTTACACCAAAAATGTGGTCACTTGGCAGCTTTTTGGATTGCCTCACTTTTTCTCCCCAGCTGGGCTTTTCTTCAGAATTGTTTTCCAAGTGGCAGCTTGTGTTTATTCTACTGGGCTTTTGGAGAACTTAGGAAAAGGAAAAACCAACAAAGTGTAGTTATGCACATGGAAAACCATATGCTTCATAAAACTGCATATGTGCTGTGTTTAAGATGTAAAGGAAGATATGCAAAAACAGCCACCTGCCAACTTCCCAATCCACCTCGATTAAAAAACTCAGAGAGTCCGTGTTCATAGTCATTCAACCTACAGTGAATGCCTTAAATTTCACAGATTGTTAAACCTGAAAGCTGAAAGTGCTATTCAAGGTGGCAAATACCAGTTCCCACAAGGAGCAGGCAGGTAACAGAAATGAGCGAAGTGGGCCAGGAGGGATGGTTGGTGTAGAACTGGGAGTGAGGGCCTTGCCTTTAGACAATTGTTGCCAAACAAAAACACAAAGAAAGCTAGAAATCCACATTATTTTATGCATTTTCCTCAATTTTTCAATGTTATTGAATTATTCAGACTTAGTCTAAAACATTCTATAAGCAATATACTCCACTAAGATTTGATCCAAGGGCTTCCAGTGTGAGACTTCTATTCTAGAACAATTTCACTGTTAATTTATTTTTTTTTTAGAGAGCATCTCACTCTGTCATCCAGGCTGGAGTGCAGTGGCACAATCATGGCTCACTGCAGCCTTGACCTCCCCAGGTGCATGCGATTCTCCTATTTCAGCCTCCCGAGTAGCTGGGGCTACAGGTGTGTACCACCAGGCCTAGATAATTTTTTCTTTTTTTCTTTTCTTTTTTTTTTTTTTTTTTGGTAGAGACAGGGTCTTGGCAGGTTGCCCAGGCTGGTCTCACACTCCTGAGCTCAAGTGATCCACCCACTTCGACCTCCCAAAGTGCTAGGATTACAGGCGTGAGCCACTGTGCCCAGCCTCATTCTTAATTAATAATAAGGAAGCTTGAGTATATAAAGACACTTTCTCAAAGTCACACTGATTGTAAATACCAAAGGTGTCACCAGGGCTCAGCTCTTCTAACTTTTAGCCTGTTATTTTACTCCTAATTCTGGTTTTGCACAATCTGCTTTAACTTGCAAGGTTTTATATGCAGGTATTCAGGTGGTCAATTTCATTGTGCTTTTGTCCTGATTGTTTTTCATTTACCCTTCAAGATCCATTCTGCATCCTTCTTGATCTATGTTTCAGGAGGCTGGCCTATGTAGACTAGGTCACAGAACTTCTTTGCTCTCTGGCTTTTAGCTGAGTCTAGCCAATGGGAGGTGTCCCAACAGGAGTTCAGAGGGAAGGTAGGTGGAGAGTGAAAATCGTGTGTTTATTCTCCTTGCTTCTTTCCCATCTCCTTCCATTAAGGGCTTCTCCATGGGGCTTATTTCTCAGAGTTTCAGTAACGGCACCCTCTCCTTGCCCCTTCAGACTTGAGGGTAGTAATGGAGCAAAAGTTCATGATGTGGGTCTCCACACACTGCTCTGTCTGTCCGAGTGGGAGCTGTAAGTTAGTCCTGCCTCCTATCAGCTGTTTTCCCTCCCAGAGTTGGTAGTAGTGGCTCCCTGTGGTTAGGTCCAGGGCACTATATTGTTCCTTGCTGGTTTCCCCAAACTCTGTCCACATGTTTGTAAACAGTCTCTTCATTAAAATCTCTTTGGTTACCCAGTGGAAGTAACATGACCACCACATGCTTTGCCTAACGAGAGTCTCCCTTAATATTGAGAACCTTGTCTCCTGAGAAATGCCTCCGTGCCAGGCAAACCAACTTATGCATGAGTCCCATTTATGTATTTCTTTTAAATTTTCTGCTTCTTGTATCCTACTACTTCTTTTACCTTTAATAATTTTAAATGCTCTTATTTTACAGTCTTATAAAGATATGTCTATTATTTCAAATCTTTAAGGTGCTAATTATCCTTTTGAAGCATTTAGTATCTTCTTTATGATGGTAAATTTCTGGGTGTGAGTCCTTCATGCCCTGATGTGTAAAAATGTCCCAACAATGCAGTTTCACAATTTCCCCTATTATATCCTAGGGGTTTCATAGACTTAGGCAACGTGTGCTAACTTATCACTGGTATACATTTAGACACCATGCCCATATGTGGCTCAGACCTGGGGTTTTGATTTTTTGGACACAACTTCTTTTTCTTTTCTTTTCTTTTCTTTTCTTTTTTTTTTTAACTGGGGTTCTAGATGGGTGGCAAGCTTACTTGCTGCTTTCCTGGACTCAGATGTGGAGTTTTTGTAGTCACCATCCCACGGACAATGCAACTTTTCAAGGCTCATGGCTTTATGCTGAAGCTCAGTTCTATTTTCCCTACCTAGCAAGGGCTTGAGGCCACATTTCCTGTACCCCAGTGGGTGTTAAATCCCCAACCTTCAGCTCTTAGGGCTTATATCTGGGTCAGAAAATTTTGCTGAAATACCAACTCTCCGTTACTGTCCTGGCTTTGATTTCTCTCTTCAATTCTTGTACCTGGGGATTTTTTTTTCTTTTATGCCAGAGTATTTTTAAAAATTCTATTTCTATTTTTTATTCATCCTTTGTACAAGTTTGCTCTGCCGTATTATCAGAACCAAAGATCACTTTGAAAAACTGAAGTTCATGTCCAGCATAAAGTTGAGGTAAACTACATGTTCCTGCTTCTGTCTTGCATAGTCACTAACAAAATGCAGCTGACAAATTAAGGCCAAAATCAGCGAGTCCGAGGGGCCCAGACTTGGATACCTAACGGAGTGTGAGTCACTTCGGATATTAATCTAGCCTCATTTACAGTGATTGGCACCAGGAGGCAAGGTGGAAATGAAATATTCATTGCCCATTCAATATTACCTAATTTGTATGTCTAAGTGTTGACAAAAGAGAAGCCTTTGCTGTCTACTTTATGAGTAATTGTAAATTAATATGCAACCCTGCACCCATTCCAGGGAGAAGAGAATCACTTGGATTTGCCAACTGTTCAACAGCACGGCCTGGTTTTATCTGCAGATGTCACCCATCCCACCTCCCACTGTTGGAAACCAGTGGGAACAGAGAGACTTCCTAAGAGAAGTGCCTTTGGATAATGTCATAGAATCTTGAATCTAAGAATCTTAAATAATCCAGATTAAAAGCAACATTAAATATTATGTTTTAATTTAATAAATGAGGAAAATGAGGCACTACTTGTATTTCAGGTACAGATATTTCCTCAAATTCTTCCAAGCACTTTTGCAGCACTGCCAAACATTGTCATTTTTGCTCCTGCAATTATTTTCTTGTTATGAGGCTTGCTGACATTTTTTTTTTTTTCACTTGAAAAGTTGTATGGAACAGATCTTTGGATGTTCAATACCTACACAGATACAGTAGGCAGGACTGGAGTGCTATATCCATCAGCATAACTTACAGCCCAAAGACGGCTGCTTTTTCTTCATTTGCTCAATACATTGGGCCCTGAGTTCTTCATTTGCTTAATATATTGGGCCCTGAGGTTTCCTAGGGCTCAGTTAGAAAGGAAATGCTCAGGGCTTTGACACATTGCAAATGTCAACTTGAAGTTCCAGACACTTCTCCAAGCACGTAGGCTGTCAGCATAAAAACCAGGGCCCCATAGCACAAAGCAGGCATCTCCACCATTCCCCAGCCTGGGGCCCTCTCTAGGGAGACTGAACTCAAGTTCAAGGCTGGGAGTGGGAGGCTGTCTGTGAATCTAATTTTTTTATTTAATAAAAAGAGCAGGGGCTAGTGGAAGAGAATCTCAGAGGAATAAGGCTATGTGGGGATTAACCACAAGGGAAAAGCATTAATGTAACTGGAAAAGAAGAAGATGGTCGTAATAAAACTAGTCAGTATTGTCTATGCCCTTCTCATTCGTTATCTTATTTCATCATTACCCCCAAAAAAGCTGTGAGTTAAGTACCAATATTAATCCCATTTTACAGATGAAAAAACAAAGGCACAAACAGCTCAATAGGAGGTCACATAGCTGGTAAGTGGCAGAATCAGAGTTTGATTCAGACATTCCTACTCTAGAGACTTCAGTCTTAACCACTATGCCTGCTATGTCATAGATTCTAAGGAGCACCGTAATTCAAACATAATGCTTATATGTTCCTTTTGCATTTCGTAAGTCTGCTCCCTTCTCTCATAGGTATAGGTTTTACTAATAACAATAGTTTCTAAATTTCCCTATATAAAAATGCAGCAGGGTAAATACTTTACATGAATACATTTTCTTATTTATTCTCACAACCCTATGAGGCATTATTAACTGCTGAAAAAGCTGAGATTGAAGGTTATTAGCCCAAGGTCATACAAGTAGTAAATGGCGGAGACGAGATTTAAACCCAAACCTTCTAATTTCAAAGTCTGAGCACTCATTACTGTGACAGTGAATCTCAAACTTTACACTCTGGGAATCTTTAAGGAAAACAAATTCCAGGCCTCTATTCACAGATTCTAAATAGCAGGTCTGGGTAAAGCCCTGGAATCTAAATTCTTAAGAAAGAAAAAAACAAAACAAAACAAAACAACCTCCCTGGATGACCCTGATGCCAACTGCTTGAGGATTCTACTTTACCAAACCCTCCCCACCACATTATCACTGTGACTATAACGGGTCAAGCATTAACTGATCAGTTGTATTTTAGCTGTATTTATGCTATTGCTCACTGAATTTGCTCACTACATTGCAGGTGTCTCTTTCTCCTCTCCCTGCATATCACCCTGAGTATCAAGGTGACTGTGTTCGTTGGGACATTTCTCATTGCAAGTGACAAAACCCAATTAAAATCAACTTAAGTAAAAGAGGGAATTTACTGGCTCATTGGACTGAAACATCCAGGGGCAAATCTACCTTCAGGCGCCATGTTCAAGGAATTCATCTCTCTCTGTGCCTCAGTTTTGTTTCCCTTTATGTTAGCTTCATTTTCAGGCCCAGGATACCCTCAAGAGTTGATGGCCACCTGCAGCTTCAAGCTTATATCCATGTAGTTTAGTGAGTCTAAAGAAAAGAGAGAGTCTCATTCTCAATTGTTCTGGCAAAAATCCTGAGGCTGATTTTCATTAGGCTTTCTTAAGCTCTCACTCTCGAACCAAACACTGTGGCAAGAGGATGCAGAATATGCTGGTTGGCTGAATATTAGTCAAGTGTCCACTTGACTAATGGGTGAGAAGGTCAGCCACTCCATCACCACATGGAATGAGAATGGCAGGGAGGCGGTTCTCCAAAGGGGAGAGCTGAAAAGAATAGAAGGAAAGGATAACAAGCAGGGAAAACTACCTAAGTCCAGCACATTGGAGCAACATGTCTAACTCGTAGAGCAGAGATGGCCATGCTACAATTTATTCTCCTCCCAGATGATGGAATATCCTTATTCCCATACCATAACTGAATTATGCTGGCTTGAGGACCCTGACGCTCTGCACTAGTGAAACAAAAGAAAACTTGACTTTTTACAAACATTGTAGAACACACCATGGAATTTTAGGGTTGAAAAGGATCTTATCAATCTTCCAGTCCAGCCATTTAATTTTGACATTTTAAAAAATCAACAGAATTAACCATTTTGAGTCAGGAAATTCAATAAACCATTCACTGAGCACATAAGCAAAGAGCGAGCATGTTCGTTTGTGGAGGTATCACTAGAAGGTTTTGGAGTCTTGGTTTCTGGTTGCAGATGAAGGAGGCAAGTCCCTTCAGCAATTTGGTACCTATTTTCCTCCATCTGGAGACTTATAAGACTTTTCTCAGTGATGTACTATTAGAGTCAGGAGTAGAACCCAAGTCCCCAAGCCTAGGACTCTTTCTTTCAACTCTGCAGTACCTTGTGGGAGGTATCTCCTTTTCTTATCTTGGTTGTATTTTCTTCCCTCTTCACTAAAATTACGCTTTCCATCCATCAAAAGTTTTCATCACTCCTTCAGCCAGCTTTTAGTGACTGCCCTCCAAACACCTAATGTAGTGGAGAAGTAGCAATAGGTGACATACGGTTGGTGCCCTCAAATTTACAACATGAGTCTCAAGCTTCTTGGAAACTACCACTTTCCTGCCAGCTCACCCCTTTCTGCCACATTTTTCCCTAGAGTCTCAACAGTTCAGACCCCTCCGCAGCCTCTCTCATTGCTCCAAATCTCCTCCTCCTCAGGGAGGTTGTGTGGACACAGACTGACTGCTCACTCTCCCACCCCACAGGCTTTGAATAACCGCTCTCGGAGCTCATTCTGCACCATGGACACCGTCCGTTAAAATTTAATGGCAAGTTAGTAAAAAGATGATGCACTTTATTGGCAATTCAAATCAGGTTATTGGGCACCATCTGCCTTTCTTCAAATTAATGGGAAGAAGAAATGGATCCTTTGGGTTTTGTTCATTTTTAGATGATCACAAAGGAACCCAGAAGGCTGCCCTAGATCATGTTAATCCCCACTGTAAATGAGGCCAAAATATTGGGGGGAGACAGGGGATGGTAACAAATGATCATAAACAGGTCTCCACTCACACGCAGAGATTATGGGAAAAGCAGAGAAAAGTGTTCCTGTCTTCCTGTCTTCATCTTGTCATTCCCCTTTCTGGACTAACTGGGGGAAAAAGCCAACAGAATTATAACCCCAAGGAGGTAGCTGATTGAGACTGCCTGAGTCACAGAAGGGTGGCAAGAACATCCTCTCCTCTGCAGCCCCTATCAAATTCAGGCCAAGCTCGTGGTTATGTTTCACCTTTGATTTCAGTTCTGGATGCAGATGGAACTCCAGAGACCTGGAAAACACTAGACAGATCAAGTTTGGACTTGACTGAGAAATTCTCTCCACACGGTGCCCCTCTCTCAGGCTGACATTCTAAAGCTCTTCCCCTCACAGGTGCTGGCCCTAGAAGCCTCCAGTTAAAAAGCAAACAGTTTACCCAGGAGATGAACAAGTAACTCATTAGCAACTGCTATCCTATCAGCACAGGTTCCTGAGCAGATGGCTGCACTGCACTCTGAGGGAAGAGCACTGGGCTGAGAAGGGCGGATAGACTACAGCACTGAACATGAGCCTCCTGGGAGCAAATACAAAGGAAATTGGGAAGGTTCGGGTGGGAGAGAGAGATGAAGACATGGCACCTAGGTCCTAGGGGGCTTGGAGGCAAGGATGGAGTATTGCCCAGAAAAGAGGAAAAGAAAGTGATGGAGAGCCGGAGAAGTCACAGAAAAGGGCAAGGTGATTTCAAATACAATGTTTGCTCCCCTCCAGTATTTTTTCTAAAGTATGTTGTCCCAGATTGGAAGGAACATCAGAGCATTTGATTTTTCCATCCTTGATACGGTCATAGGTATTTCTGGGGCGGGGGATGGGGGCCAGGGGGAATGGAAGAGGCTGTTTATTTTAGTAATCTTCACATTAATGTATTAATAAATTAAAATGACCTTATTTCTCTAATTTGTTTTGTTTGTATGTTATAAAGTATAAGAACAACTTTTGACAATTTCCGGCAGCAATTATTTCATTTGGGAGTATTTTTTGCAATAGACTTTAATGCATAATTGTCAAGCTCCTATTGATGTCCTGTCAGCACCTCATAATTATAACAGTATTTCATCATTAAATGTGCTTGGGAAACACTGAAATCCACACCCTCATTCCTTCTGTTTCGAGTGGTCTTGTTTGCACACAATGGAGAATGCTATGCCACCAGCAGCGGCAGCTCATTTTGCTGTTGGAAAACTCCACTGGGTAGAGTATTCTCCTTATGTCAAATCCAGGTGGTTCTCAAACTTCAGTGCACATAAGAATCAGAGTAGAGTTTGTGAAACTTGCCTTGCTTGGTCTTACCCACAGAGTTTCTGACTCAGTAGATGTAGGGTGGGGTCTGAGAATTTGCACAGGTGACTTAATCCCATCCATCTCCCTGTAATTTCCACTCCCTCCTCCCTGTAATTCCCAGAAGGACCCAGAAAGTCTAATTCCCTTTCCAGTGTGCAGAACTTCAAACACTTAAGCCCAGCTCCCCAATGCAGTATAAGCATCACAAGGGTAGGGATAGGGTCAGTAATGGTTTCCTTGCCTTCTTCCCAGTGGCTTCAATGGTGTTGACAAGTGTGCACGCAATGAAAATCTGTTGAGTGACTGGCACAGAGTCACTGCTATATAATTGTTGCTTGTTATTATTACTTCTGAGGAATAGAAACTCCACAAGACAGAGCTTCCTTCCAAAGGGCTCCAAGATAAACTGCAAATACACTCTTACCCTGTCTTCTATGTTTCTAAACCTCAATAGGGCCTAGAATCAGACAAAGAGTATACTTTTGCTTTGGGTAACGGATTTCTAGATTTTTTCACGTGCAGACCTGGCAGGGCTGATGTTACTTTATATCTCTTTAGAGAATGGGCTTACAAAAAGAGTGACATGGTGCATATTTTCACCCAAGAATTCTCTTACCGAATGGAAGGAAATAATGGAATAATGAAACTCAGCAATCGGATGGGAAATGAAAGAGTGAAATCAGTCTCCCATAGTGGATGTGCTCCAGACGTCCTGGTAGGGTAATTTACCCTCAAATTAAAACCCCATAACTGGAAAAGAGCACAAAAGTGGGCATGACATGGGCCTAGTGCAAGAGCAGTAGGTTCTTACTCCTGGCTTTTCCAAGTGAATGGATGTTTCTCTGGTCTATTTCATCATTATTACCATTCCCACCTTGGGCATGGTGTCCCTCCAGCGATGAAGCTGCTTTGCACCTGTAGCTGGCCTTCTTGCCTTCCCAAACTCCTGCAGGGCCAAATGGCTGCAGTTTAAGGGAGAAGAAATAAAAAGCCTTTGAAACAAATCATCCTAAAAGAAACTCATTTTTTGTTTGAGGGCATAAGTGGGGTATTTGAGAGCTGACTGGAAAACTTCCTTTTCAGAGCCCTTCCTGGCCTCAGGAACAAGTTTTTTCCAAAGCCATCCCAAGCAATTGTCTCAGCAAAGAGACAAAACCAGAAGACACTATTTATATAATTACAACTAATTACAATCTTATGATTCCATTTAATCTCCACATAAGAAGTTCACCAATTGAAGAACAGCATTGATCCTCTGTGCCTGAGCCAATTAGATATTTTGGTTCAATCTAGAATGGCTACCCAGCCTTTGCCAGGATGAATTTGTGTTTAGAATTTTATTTTTATAGCCTCCAAGGCATCCCAGATTTTAAAGGGACACTGGAAACCATCCATTTTTGCATGTCTGCTCCAGCAAGATCTGCATATTTCAAAAATAATTAAGAAGTTAATACTGAAGCCCATTTTACTTATCTCCCCAATAACAAGATTTTTTGTAACATTGAAGTGTTTAGATTTCCCTGAGAAAAATAAAAATGATTTCTTAATACCCTGGAATCTTAATCCAGATAGTTTAGAAGAAAAGAGATTACAAGTGACATCTCAATTTCAGGCACCTCATTAGTCAGGGACTTGATTGCCGATGATTGCTCTGCTAATTGACTCGGAGCTGACTGCTCCTCTCTGGGGAAAGAACTCCATGAATCCTGCTTCCAGGCCTCCAGGGGTTTGCAGACTCTTGCCTTTCACCATCTGAGGGTCCCTGGGCCTCGAGAGAAATGATAGAGGCAGTGGAGTCTCTGCCATTTACCTACTCTGAAATCCAAGGCAGGTTATTTATCCTCTCTGACCCTCCTCTTCCTTGGAGTATAGAATGAAGAAAATGCTGCCCGCCTGAAAATTTACTGTAAGGATGAGAGCATGTGTTACTCTAGGGGCCAGGCACAGAGTCAGTGCCCAAAAAAAATCGCTTGCTTCTTCAACCAAAAGTTAGGCACAAGGGTGGACATGCAATATCCCGGCCCTGTTTTCCTGTCCATTATAATCTGATGGGGAAAACAGATATGAATCAAATAATCCCCCCAATTATTTAGAAACAGAGATAAGCACAATAAAGGGAAGGAATGCAATTTTGTGAGAATTTCAGCAGAGCAACTGCTAGCTTGGTGAAGATGGGAGAAAGACTGAGATCAGGGAAGCGGGGAGGAAGATGGAGGAAGCAACATTTGAACCGAGCTCTGAGAGATAAGAGGGTGGGGAGGAATCCACATTGTAGACACTGGGAAGGGCAGGATCAGGGATAGAGGCCCTTGGAGAGAGCAAGGGGCAGCATGGCAGAAATAGGGTTGGATTAATCACCAGCAATTTCCCATAAGTTATTGGCAAGCTTTATCCCACGTAGGCATACAGTGAAGTCCTTGATTAAATGACAAAAGTCTCCAAATATATCTTAAGAAAAAACTTTTAATCTTGCTATGAAATAAGACTTGACAGAAATACTTCCTGATCAGGTTACTGATTTCTCTGAAAAGATGCTTAATTTACGTGAAAGGAGAAAAAAAGGAAAAAATACATAATTATATATAGCTATGTAATTATATGTAGTAGATAGGTAGGAAATGAATAAATGAATGCATTATAATTTGTAACAAGGAGAAGTAGACTTGGAGTTGACAAATGATCTGAGATAGAGTCTCAACCCTGATCACTACTGGCTATATTATGTTAAGCAAATGTGTTATCATTTACTCAGAGTTTTCTCTGTGACAGGCACTGTGCTAAGTGCTTACCCAACACGTATCATTGAATTTTTGCAGCCAGCCAGTGAGCTACCCAAAGTCCTCTTTATCATCATCATTATTATCATCTCCACTTTACAGAAGAGACAGAGGCTTCAAAAAATTAAGTGGCATGCCCACTTTTACATGTGTAATACATAACAAACTTAGGACCTGAATCCCAGCCACTGCCTCCAGAGTCTACGTTCTAAAAATTACAGCATCATTTGCTCTGTCCAGCCAGAAAGTGGTTCTGAAGATGAAACAGTCATAGAAGACCTTTGTAAAACCCTCAAGGCCTCACCAGCAGAGGCCGCCAGAATAAACAGCTCTGCCTTGAGACCAGACCCTTTCAGGTTCACTCTGACTTCATTCCAACCATCCAATCTGGGTCTTCAGAAGGAGATTCCTTAGTAGGCTGCTTCACCTGCCCAGGGACCCACGCGTCCACTGTAATTGCTGCCAAAGTACCATATGTATGTGCACGCGTGCATTTTTTCTCGAGGTTGGTTACTCAAAATGTTTATGAGCTTCTGGGAAGAGGAATCTTCTCCCAAAATTCTGATTCAATAGAGTTGACTCAAAACAATAAGGGACTGGGAAGTTCAGAGAGATTTGTAATTCAGTCTGGTCTCAAACAGGAGTCACTTGCTCACTAAATACTTTAGGTGGGTCCATGATGTGTCAGTCCAGAGGTCCAGCCACAGCTGGAATGCTTTAAGAATTATTTCAGGTTTACTCAAAACAAAACAAAATGAAAAATAACTTCCTTACTCCTCCTTTGTACATTTAGGAATTAAATAACTTGCAGGAAAAAAGTCTAAAACACATTAAACTCTGAACAATCTGTATCCTTCAGGTTCTGTGCAGCCTTCGCCAATGTATATTGAAAATGCTATCGCAGGCCGGGCGCGGTGGCTCAAGCCTGTAATCCCAGCACTTTGGGAGGCCGAGACGGGTGGATCACAAGGTCAGGAGATCGAGACCATCCTGGCTAACACGGTGAAACCCGTCTCTATTAAAAAGTACAAAAAAAAGAAAAAAAGAAAAGAAAATGCTATCGCAGAATTGCAATTAGTACGTACCTTCCCCTTCACACTGGTTTTCACAAATGATATTTCACATAAACATTCTTGTGCACCGGCATGGCCTAGGTTCTTGTTATTTTAATAACCCGATAGTATTCCATTCTGTTAACATTTCTTGAATGCATTTAAGTTAAAAAAAGAAACTCAGTTTTTGATCTTTGACACTTTGATTTTTGCTTTAGCATTTGAAAAAACTGATTTGAAAAATGCTAGCAATGCATGACTTAAGGGTTTCAGAGGATAGGCTTTGGAATCCAACAGACATGTACTTGAATCCCATTTCTACCTCTTAGAAGTTATTTGACCTTGAGCAAATCACTCAAGCTGTCTGAGCCCTAGTTTCCTTATTGTAAAACAGGGATAACAGCAATATCTTCCTTTCCAAATTGTTGCAAGATTAAGCAATATAATATGCTTAAAGTGCTTTGCAGAGGGCTTGGTACATGCTAAAAGCTTGGTAAATGATAGTTCTTGGCATAATAGACAGGAAATAGAGAGTTGGACCCACCTAAGGCATTTTCTTTAAAAGGGGTTAAAATGTTATTTTTCCAAGGTTATAAAGAAAGGAAATCAGGGGGAAATAAGGAAGTATCTAAATTGACCACATGTGGTTGTCAATTTACTTGCCAATTCCAAATTTGGGTCTCTGAAATGAACATTTTCGGTCCTAAAATGAGGATGGCATCCTGGGGCTTGTGAACATGAATAAATATATTCAGAGAATAAATACACTCTACATGTCTCTGGCATGATGCCTCTGTTCAGCCTCAACATTGCCCACCTTTCTGCAAAGCAGGTTCTTCCACACCAAGTCAGCCCTCCACCACCACCACCATCAAGGAGAATTTTCTGACACCTTCCCCAGCCAATTGTCTGAACATGTAAGCTAGACAGAACCATGGTAATTCTCTCTTGTCCAATTCATTTGCTTTATAGATCAGAAAATGGGAGGCTTAGGCAAGGGAAATGAATTTCCAAGATTACATATCTACTTAAGGGCAGAACTGGTATGTACAAACCTGGTCACTTCTAACCATCAACACACAGATTTTCTAATCGGTCATTTGTGTTTCACCTTCATGATATTTTATTGATCCATGAATCTTCTAGACTCCCATTTACTTGATCTTTCTTTTTTTTTTTTTAACTAAAAATAAATGTAAAAAGAAATATTATAAAACTAAACATTAATAGATAAAAAATAGTATTACTAATTAAATGAAATAAAAGGTAGCCATAAAATAAACAGCAGAGCTATAATTAAATTCTGGTTGAAATGCAATGATCTATCAAAGGATCAGAGATGGAAGCAAACGCTCTCATCCACAAAAAAAGAAATTAGCAAGGGTTCAAGAGGGGCTGAACAAGGATAGAAACCAGCAGTCTAAGATTCCATCAAACAAAAAGTCCATCAAAGTTGTCTTTAAGAGGATGGAAAAGGAATGAAAAAGGAATAACTGCATTGGCTTGTAGGATAGATGTGAATTTGGGAAGTACTAACCTGTGACATCCTGTCTCTCCTACACCATCTCTTACCTGTCACCCACCAGGGAATAGTTCCTGAAACTTTGTGTTTTGAGGTTGATTCTAGGATCCCACAAAACTTTTCACTTCTTTGCTTCCTTTTGCACTCTGAAAGCTCTGTTTAAACCCTCAACCTTCACAAGTAAGGTTGTTCACAGTTTCATTTGCAAATAATCTTAGCTGTCATTTAGCTTTGTGCATAGGCGTTATCTTATTTAATCTCAACAACACCTTTTTAAGTGGAAACCACTGCAATCTCCATGTGAGGATTGACACATGAAGAAATTACTGAACTTGTCTATGTCTTCAGCTGGTAGCTTGGAATTGCCTGATTCCGTACTCTATGCTCTTAATCACTGTGCTACAACACTTTCTAGTCTAGCTTCAGTTGATTCATTAATAATTTGCTTCAAAAATATTTACCGAATATTTCATATGATCCCATCAATGGACTCAGCATATAGGAACAAGCAAAGAGTGATATAACTTAGTCCTTGTCCTTGACTTTTATATGTCATTAATACGTTCAACAAATATTTATTGGCCTATTACCAAGTTGTAATCTTGATAAAGAACTGAGAGATATGCATCTGAAAAAAAATGCACAACAAACAATATAATAAAATACCAAAATGTACAGAGCAATTGGTAAGAGTTACGAGCAGGTCAGGAAGGAGATGGAGTTCTGTGGTCTAGTATTACTGAAGAAGGCTTCCTGGAAGACATGACCCTTGAAAGGAGGGAGGACATTGCAGGCAAAAGTACAAAGCAAGCAAAGTGACAGAGGAGACAGGCAGCATTGAGTGACAGAGACTCCTCTTCTTAATACCTGATCAATTGGCAACAACACTAAAACAAACAAAACACCCACCCAAAGGGCAGCAGGGTCTCACATTTCTTAGCTATGATTTTCAGAGATCAATGATAATAAACCCTGTGAGGCACAAGTTCCTCCACTCTTAAGAGTGACATTGGGTAGAAGGGGAGCTTTTACCAAAGATGCCTTAGGTTTCAATTGTGTGTCTGAGAAAGCCCTGCAACTGGCATGGCCTAAAATATCAACACAGGGGCAGGAAGCTTTCAGTTAGCCTCAGTGCAGCAGAGGGTGAGGAAGAAAAAACATACTTATTAGGATTGTTGGCCTGGGAAGCTTTGAGGTATACCAGCGAGGTAGGAGCTTAGAAAATAAGTCTTGCTCCTCACAGTTAAGTGCCAAGTGCTGTGAATGACTCAGGGCTGGCTCATTATGGACCTATTTCAGCTAATCCTCCACAGGCAACAATCCTCCTATTTTCTGGGACTGTGGAAGCCTGGGGAAAATCCATTCCTTTTCCAGTTTGGCTTGAGGGGGAAGAGCCTTCCTTCTTTATTAAATCTCCAAGCTCACAGGATTCTTCTTACTGTAGCTAGTGCTAGAAAGTGTAGAGTTTGCAGGTTTCTGAAATGTTCAACACCCATTCTGCCCCTTCCTGATTACACAACAACAATAATAACGTGTCTATTATCCTACCCATCTTCTCTATTAGATGTTAAGCTTCTAGAATGTTATCCACACAATCACTTACCTGTGCATTGATCCAATCAATAACTGAGTGGCTCAATGTAATGACCTCTATTTTAGCACCCATACACTTCATTGTACTTATTTCTATTGGAATCTGGACCTTATCTACATCTCCAGCCTCATCTCCCACTACCCAGTGCCTAACACTGTAAGGTTCAGCCGCATTGACCCTTCTTCCTAGACAGTGAGCTGGGCCTTCTCTCTCCCACCGTAAGGCATTCACATATGCGGACTCTTCTGCGTGGGCATGGAACAAATATTCTTTTCCACCTTCCTCCTTCATCTAATTAGCTTCTACTCACCCTTCAATCTCAAGTCTTACCCCGCCGTCCCAAGCCCAACTCCCAGGCTAGGCCAACTTTTTAAATCCTAGGCAACTGAACATGTGTAGTCTGTAAGTACAATGAGGCAAGGGATCTTGTCTGATTTTGCTTCCCAGCAACTAGCATGGTGCCTGGCCTGAAGCAAGCACTCAGTATGTGTTTATGGTTTGAATAAATGAATAAATGAACAAATGTGGTCCTTTCTCTCAGGGTTCTGTTGAACGTATTAATATTAATATTTGTTGAACGTATTAATGACATATAAAAGTCATGGCATATGAGCACTTAGTAAATGTTTGTTGAATGTGAAACTTCCATGTGCAAGTCTCCACTTTAAAGTACTGTGAAGGACCACAAATAAAAAGTTACATGAACAACAAAAAGCCAAGTACATAAACATATGGTCCCAAACTTCAGAGAGTTTTCAGCAAAATACAGGAAAGGGGACGAGTACAAGATAATCGTAACGGTGAAAAGAAAAAAGGGCACAGAAGAAGTACAGACAAAGGGGCTAAAGAAGTTCAGAGGAAGGGAGATCACATCTGAGAAAGGGTACGGACACGTTTTAGGGAGGAAGCCCTGAGCCCAGCAGCTGTTCTAGTCTTTATCTGGAAGCCGTGTGTCCAGTGGTCTGTCGGGCAGGACTATTCCTGGGTCAAACATGAGTAGGGGAGGTGCCCACCTACCACCACTCCACTTTTGAAGCCTTTCTCTGTTTCATGAAGACTCAAAGCAGGGCAGACAATTTAAAACTCTGCAGGGGCCAAGAAACTAAGATAACCAAAAGGTGCAGGTTTACTGTGGCCAATTCCAAAGCACATTTCCTGTCTGAC